GTCTATCGCAGTCCACTGTTGGACATAGGCTTCTCCCATTGCACACCACTTAGATCGATTTTGGGCTTCTGGCAGAGGCCTATATCCAGCAGTAGACTGTAATAAAACAAATTTAAACTGAATAGATTTGACAGAAATAAAATAGATTATAAAACCTCCTTCCTAAACAGAGCCTAAGAAAGGAGGTTTTAAAATCTAGTTCATTTTTTCAAAATTATTCAATGTTAAATAAATAAATGTTTGTTTACAAACGTTTTTATAAAAAGAGGGAGATACATAACATAAAAACGAAACAAAACTATCATAGCCCATTTTTTTCTAGATATTTCTGCATATTTTATAATCACTACATCTCTAGTATTCTCAAATTAAAAACAAAAATTTGAAGTAATATCATGCAGTAACATAATCGCAAAGACAAAACTAAATTGCCCAAAACCGAAACCACCTAATTTCTGAGGCCATTTTTTCTAATTTAGAATAACTAAACTTCTCATCTAAATTATGTAATCGGAGTTCAAACAGTCGGAACTTGGCCGCTGTTAATCTAATGATAAATACTGGCCGAGAGACCATTAGGCTTGCTGATTTATGGCCCGTGACCAAGCCTCCAAGTTTCTGAAAACATGTAACAGTAGTTCTGGCTTTTGTAAGCTTATGTGGGATAGTTTTTTTATAGGTCAGATTCTAATGAATCTCGCCTAATGGCAATAGTGTGAGAACCCTTTGAGATTACAGGTTTGAATTCCTTTACAACCCCTTGAGAATAATTAATTGTTAAACTTCTGTGGCACGTGGTAATTACTTATTTCTAACAAATTGACTTTTGAACCAAAATTACTTCATGCGTTGAAATTGTTAGCGTCGCACTGATAGGTCGTTAGGAGATTTGAGAGTTTACGGGAGCGTTTGGAGCACTAAATCAACATTTTATTCGATAAACTGCTTCTTATGCATTTAACTACTCTATGAAGGAACTTTACTAGATTGTAGTTTAAATTTATCATCAAAATAGCTAACTTTAATAGCCCATAGGACATAAGGGTCTCCTTTGAAAGGGTAAAATGTATATAGACTTCAATTAATTGTTTACTTTAAGGAGACATTGTAAAATAAAGATCATAAATATTTATGAAAAGAGTGTATTGTTCCAAAGAGCTTGTAGAAAAGCATAATTGCATGTTACACCTCCATGCATACACTGCTGTTCTGCAAAGTGAAGATTGTTACTTGTTTGGATATTATTTGGATGTAAAATGATTGTATTGATGAGAATTACAGTAATGAATAGGTATCCTATAATTCTAATTTTCCTAATGTTTCGGCAGGGACACGAGCCATGGTGACAGACGGACTGGTCGAATCTATGAGGTAAGAAGTTTATCCGAAACCCGCAATTTTTATGAGGTTCATTAAAAGTTTGTTATTCCTATTAAATATGTGATTGCTTTAATTCAGGTCAACAGAATTACATTAACATGGAACGAAAAGTTTAAAAGTTAGTTGAGCAGCAATGAACAAAGAAAGAAAAGACACAATGAAACAAAATTTTATTAGAAAATAACATTTTTATTTTATTCATTGTAATTGTTATTGAAGCCATATCGATTACATAGTACATACATCCACTTATTATTAAATAAACAGTTACGTCACTTATTTTTAACATTAAAACACATCGTAACATTTACTTACAAAATCACATTCATAATCTGGCACTCAAGTCATTATGACGTCACGTTTCTCACTTTCTTTAATTTCACACATCGATAAATTTATTAATATTACATTACAATATTTTGATCCTAGTGTTAAAAAAATATTTTTTTAATGATTTATGACGGAAACTACTATTTAGAGAAGAGAAAAGATTAAAAAGGTTTTTCTTTCTTTTGATTGAAGATTAGACAGAAAAAGTTTCCGAGTATGATTTATTCAAATGCTCTTATTGTAACTTAAATCCTAGCTGACTAAAAATTTCCAAAACAGTAAGCTAGCAACATTTTATAGTTAATGTATGTGTATTATGCTAGACTACTTATTTTGGTATATTACTGTATCTCTAATTTATGAATTTCATTTCTTAATAAGTACATTCGGAACCGAATAACTAAAATGCCAAATTCAAATTAAACAGCTACTATTATATTATTCCACAACATCGATTTCACAACAGAGGAATTAAATTACAAGCTAAATTTGAAAGCGCAAACTATTATTCTGCCCAATGAAATCTCTATTGCATTAAAATGCCTAAGAGTAGAACACCCTGTATATTCCCATAAATGCGCTTTAAATACAGTTACACGTAATATATAGATAGCATTATACATACTTACAAAAATTTTGAAATTAATTACATGTTGCCGATTTGTGAGTAAAATAAAAAAATACAACGAGATTTATCATTATTATCTGAACAAACAAAACAAAAATATTTAAGCAGGATAATATTTGTAGGATAAATAGTTCATATAAAAATGTTAATGTGCATTGAACACCATTTCTTTTTTAATTGTGCAAGGTCTGTTCGAAGGTTTCTAATTAAATAAAACATAACTATTGCAATTACATTATAAAACAATTACTATGAAGAACATTGAACATCATTTATAAAGTTATATGCAATCATACAAATACGAAATTTGAAAATGAAATTACAGCGCTGCCGCCATTTTTATTTATTTTTTCCACAGAATTGTACATGTCCAATGTCATGAATATTTTAAAAAGAATGAATGAATTTCTAGAGCAAGAGTTTTAGCATAGTCTGATTTCTTTACATTTTACATGGTATCATTTCATGAGATATCCAAATTTCGTTTGTATTCAAGAGGTATATATGTTACAAGCTGTAACATGTAATAAAGTAGATTGGAAACTACAAAACTCAACAAAATAGGAATAAAACGATAACGGATAACACACAATGCATTGTTTAGCTAAATTAATTAGTAAGTATGTATTAGAAAGTGTTATTAAAGGTTAACCTCATTTAAATATATTCATGAGTTTTCTTTCAACACTAATGAGAATAATTTATAGGGACACTGAATGTCACTTTTTTGATGTCGTTGACTGTACGCTCAAAGCCCCTTATTTCCTTCAATACAAAAAATAATACTTAATCCTAATATTTACAATATATTTCGCTATCAATTATTCGGATTCCATTTTATCTAGACAACATACATTTGAATACAGTAGATTTTAAAGTTTATCTATTTATAATTGTGGTATAATAGACGAATATCTGTGTTACATGGCTGCCTTTTGAGTGGTTTGGCTTTCAGGAATTTGAAAAAAAAAAACAAAAACACGAATTCTTATACTTAATGTAATTTAAAAAAAAAAGGAATGTATTTCAAATTCGTCAAAACCAATCACTGACAATCCATGAACATACTACTATTTTGGTGTTAGATCCTTTTTGCAGGCCTGGACGGACTGATAGTCCTCAGGAACTCTAAATCTAAACTTATTTTACTTATAAAAATTTATAGCTAGTTTTACACTTTGGTGGGATTTTACATAAAGATAAAATATATGTATTTTTTTTTATCATTAAATACATTAAAAACATTATTTTAAATGCACGATGAGCGATTTCTTAGCATTGCACTCGAAATGCTAAGATAAACTTTGCAATGATTAAGAATTTACGAGATCTTTATTCTTTATTCCATTTGCCTTCTGTTCTAATTTCTTTGACGGCAATGGACTTGGCTCTAAAACTTAATACTTAAATTGTAGTGCAAAAATGTGGGCGTTTAATACTTCTACGTTGGCCTCTTCAGGGGTTTACGTAAGTGTATGGATGTATGCATAATTTTTTTTAAATGTTGACTTCCTATACTTTTCTTAGCTATAAACTTTAAATGTTCCTACGCACCTTAAACCTGGTGTTCACGTAATGTTACTCAATACGCGTACAAACAATTCTCTTTCTTGACAAAGCTGTCTTTAATTGGCTCATAAGTATATTTATTAAAATGTAATGAATGTATTTAACATATTTTTAATGTACATTCACAGCATTATATATTAAACATTAAACTATCTTAAGTTTCACATTTAGTAGAAGCATCAGCTTTCTCTAATCAAAAATTAAATTCCTTTTGCATCGTTTTCTTATGTACATACTTAAAATTTACTTGGTTCTACACATTCTTTACCTTAATTTCATCTTATTCGCGACTAGCTTACACCTACTGCTCAAACTGCTTAAATATTGGATTTCTTCACATTTAGAATACTAATTGGGGTAATGTGCTCTTGAGATAGTGCAACAGTGACAATGATTTTTGTTGATGTATTTTGTGCACAAACGTTATTTAATTTTTTACACATCAATTTAATACCTATTACATATCTACGTTTGGTAAAATATACTGATAGTTAAGAATGTGACTATTAACTAGTTTAAAATAATCATTAATAATTATAAATAATATTAATGATTATTCTAATTAATAATTATTAATAAATAATCATTGCATGGATGATGCGATGTAAAATCGCGTTACCCATGTAATGATTATTAGTTTTACATTAATTAATATTGTTATTACATCGTTCTTAATTTACATTAGATAATTTATAGACACTCAACTTATAGTTTGGTATTATTTTCTTTGATAGTAATGTTAATGTTACAGTCATCTAGCGCTTTAATCTCAACTTAAGACCCTTAAAACTAAATTATTTATATCACTTTTAATATCTTACTAGAAAATAAACGTAGGTATCTTTGGATTTTTCATTTAATTATATTGTACTTAAAATAAATATTGTTTTTTCGAATACCATTTCTAAAAGTGTTACTGATGTTAAATAATCCTTAACTATGGTAACCAATTTCGATTTTTGGCAGGCACTTTGGTATTGAAGAAAACGAAAGGAATAGTGCCAAGAATTTCGGAAATTGACAAGTATAGATAAGACTAGGTTAGGTTTTGAAAGGTTGGTACTCAGTATATAAATAGTAGAGAGTAACTTATCTAAATATAAGTGCTGAGAGCTTGCCTGAAGTCGTGAAGGGCTGCTAGAAGCTGTGGGGCTGTGGGCCGAGCTTGAGGCGATAAGGTCCAGCACCATGACATTAAACCGTACCTAGAAAGTATTACTAAATGAAACAAAACACTTATAGACACATACCGATCTCTATCCAAACATGTCATGGTTAGCAAATGTACTATTTTTATGCCGATTAAAGATATATGGGGTTTATTTCAGTGTATATTTCAGAGATGCTGGCCGCAAATTTCACTCGAGACAGTAACTGATCACTGCCTACTGCATAGCAGCCGGCATAAACTTACAGTACGTGATACAGATCTGGTCTCCAAAAGTGACATAGTCTGTGAAGTGATATACCACATTGATTGTAAATAACAATACTGTAATACACCATATACGAGTAATAGAAATAAGTTCGGGTTCTGTTTTCACAGGGTCCGAAAAACAATGGAACAGGTGGCAGTTTGACCAACTCACTGTCTTGTTTGGCACCTTCGCGGCAGGTCACATGACTCCTTCAAAATCCTAATCGGATCCGAAACTAGTCAGGCAGCTCCAAAATACACACTTGAGTAAAATTTTTAATTAAAATGCCAGCGACGGTTCAACGAAACGTGTAATAGATCGAAACTATTTTTTCTTTGATATGGTAACTGACACAAGAAATTGATTCTGAATTTAAGAAGCATTAAAAGTGAAAGGTACTATCGAACACGAGAATAGACTCCGACATTGAAATTTCTGATACAAATGTTTGTTTAAAATTCTATTCATTCCGAACGATTCTTTGGAGAATTGAGTGTTAAGGTTTTGTCAACACGAAAAGCAATTTTAGGATATTTAAAGTATTTTTAGTAAATTGCATTTTCACTCGAGACTTTTGAAGTTGATGCTATTCAGTGGCGCTTGAGAATAGGATTTTTTTTGAGTTGGAGTACAATGCACCTTAGAGCTGGAGCGCATGAGTGACTTTTGTCACCGTGACTATTTTGTCACTCTAATCCGGACTGTGAGTTGTGTATGTGTACCGGAATATGAATATGCGCACACGTCACGACGTGACAACAATTTTATAAATGAGTCACTCATGTCACTCACTCATAAAATTGTTACTCTCCGAGTTATTCGTTTGCCATTTCAGTTGCGGCAATTGAGTTTGGCGCACCCAAAATAGCGTATGTTTGTTGCGTGTGTTTATTGAAGAAGTAAAGAAGAGATCAGTACTTCATGATAAATACCGGCATCTTTTTATAGGTATATTTTATTCTAAAGATGTACCCAGTATTGTCTCGACTACAAACACATAACGTACGTATAACAAAATCAGTGACAAAAACTTTTTGTCACTGATAATTCGAAGACAAAGTGGTGCAATTCGATTAAAACAACATTTAAACAAATGATCTTATTAAAAAAAAAATGCTATCTTTTAGTTACCGTGGGGCGGGATACGGCAGTTACGGGTAATAACATGTATTTTGAACCAATATACAATCTGATGCTAATGGTTGTATTGATTGTGGGCTTCGGTTTTCGCATTTAGACTCAAGAGTGGTCCTTTATGCGTCGAGGGCTGGTTGGCTAAGTGAGCCAACCAAGCTCCTTCCAGAAGCGCAGAAGCCTCCTCTATATCTTAGCATGCTGTCGATCCACCCTGAGATTGTGGAATCAACACCATGTCTATACAGAGCTTGGCTAAAGCTGGTGAAATTAAGCTGATACTATATTTATTACACTAAACAACTTACAGTTCATCGGGACAGTTGTGTGGTTGTGATGGTCTATATCCTCCACTCAAAAACGCCCCCACATCAGCAGCGTCCAACTCTGCCAATGGTGATGCTCCTAGAGTCGCTAATTCCCATAGAGAAATTCCTAACGACCACTGCATAAAAATTAATTATCAGTTGTTTAGTAAACATTGAAAGCTTAAAATGCTCAAAAAAATTAAGATATTACGTTTTTGACATTAAAAATATTTTATAGATTTCTATGAACGTCGTGATGGCTTAGAATATATAATATCATCTAATGTGATATACAATGTGACATGGCATGCCAAAAACTTGATGAATATCTTTCAAAATATAAACTCTTTATCTAAACGTTTTGAAAATAAACTATAAATAATAACAATTATACACTTTAATCACATGAAACATTAAATTAAGGTAAGCAGACACAGTCATGAGTAATTATTAAATACCAAACAAAATTGAAGAAATCTGAAACGATTACTGATTTTTATCACAATAACTTACAACATCAGACGCTGTCGTATACTGATTCTGTAACAACGTCTCCGGAGCCATCCATTTGACCGGCCGATTTTCATTGTCTCCCAAACAATGGTAGTCATCGGGAAACAGATCTCTTGACAAACCATTGTCTGTCACCTTCAGCCTTAGTTTCTCGTCCACCCTACAACAAAAAGTATTAAACACAATTATCAAACATCTTCTGTAGCCTACTTAAAACTCTAAGTAACTTGGGATTTTCTTAAAATGCTATTTACGCACTTTCTTCGACACTGTTGAAGTTAAACTCCGTATCTGAGTAATTAAGGTTTAGGTAGTACGAAGTTTTATTGAGAGTTGTTGTAACATAAATTACTCATTCATAACGCTCATTTGACGACCGAATGACGTAGTGGCTAATTCAAAGGTCGCGGGTTCGATTCCCGCTCAAGTCAAACATTTGTGTGCGTGAACTTTTAATGTTTGATGTGGTTTGGGCGTTTCTATGTATAATATGTATGTATTTACAAAAAGAAAGTATTTATGTATTTATCTCAGTTGTCTATAATAATTAATCCCATAGTATAAGCTCTGCTTAGTTTGGGACTAGATGACGTTGTGTCAATGTGGTAGAATAATATTATTATTATTACTCAGTCATCAAGGCGCAGATAAAAGAAAATATTTTACTTTGAATGTACTTATTAATTAGTACTTACACACAATTTCTGGCGGCAATGTCAGCATGTACTATTCGCTGAACATGTAAATACGCAAGCCCACAGGCAACTTGAGCACCTAAATCCACTAGTTCTCGAGTTGCGGGAGCTGCTTGATGGCCTAATCGGCATGACGTTAGGAACCTGAATGACGTAGTATTCATATTTTATTGCACTGTATAATATTCCTTATCTTATACGTATAAGGTCTGATAAACTTACCTTTTCAGATTAGAAGAATGAGAGGGACAGCAGTATACTAAAAGCGGTTTCCGAGCTTCTTCAGCGCAAGCAGCCATAGGCGTTAATACGTTAGCATGAACTAGACCAAACAGCCTCAATCCTTCGGCTACTAATAGCGCTGCTTGCATGGCTGACGCCGCATCTAAAACAAAATTGTATTTGTTGCTAACGATACACATGCCTTATACTACACTAATGACAAAAAAAATAGATCACAGTAGTCATTCATATTTAATAAAAAACTGATATTTTCCGTAACTATTTTTCTTTAACATTTAACATACCTGAAACAGTCTTAACAACCACCTCTTCATAAGTATCGCCTCTCTTAAAGACTCCTTTATAAACCCTGCCAAAGGTTCCCTCGTGTACTAAAATCTCTAAACGGATGTTTGATCGAGGAGTCGTAAGCAATCGTAGCTGTTCAGCTGGGTCCGTAATTCGATCTTTGGTAAACGTTTGCTAAAAATAAAAAGCAGAATTTGATTGTGATAATTTTCCACTGTGGACTCAGTGTAATTACAAATCGGTACGATAATAGTGTTGCCTGTTAATAAATGCAATAGATGCAAAACCAATCCAAATGTAATTGGTACTAAGGGAACAACTTCGTAGTCCATTGCATTTTTTTGTATTATCAGAATAGTTTTCTTCAAAAATGACAACTAATCTGTGTGTTCTAATCGAACCCACAACAGCGTAGTAGGAAGTGGTGTAGCGACCGCTTAAACTATTAGGCCATCCGTGCAGTCAAAATCTCTAAAATTTAAATAGTAGATAGTCTTTTAAAGATTTTTAATCCCGACACTAAAAGCAATGGTGTTATTAGTTTTATATGTGTATCTATATATTTCTGAATATGTCTGTTGCTTATGGTTCGTAAACGGATAGATTGACTTGGATATAGTTTTTTTTTATAAAACTATTATAAAACATATGCAAAGGTATTCAGAAATCAATGTCATGCTTTCCTATAAAAGAGTTCTGTTATTTATAGATTTTTCAAATACACTCTGACTGAATTAAAATAATGAAGACGAAATATGTATTCCAAGTCAGCAAACTCACAACTAGTTTCAAAAGCTTTGAAAATCTAAAGTTTTTTGTCCTCGATTCCAATATTCAGAATCAAAAGTCAGCAATCTCTAAGTGCCTCTTCAAAAGTGGTATCCAGTTAGAGCTAACATGCTAGTCTATGGTACTAGCTATTAGTTAGTCGCAGGTGTGCGACACATAATTGCATTGAGCCGGTCCACGTCCAACGATATCCTTAATCGAATTTGCGAGATAGCTTCGTTTTGCACAAAGTGTCTGATGTCATAGTGAAGCGATTTAGTCGAATGATCAAAGGTGGCAGAAAGTACTAGAATATTTCAGATTATTATATATCGCAGACCGAACTCATTATTAGAAAATGAGTAAAAAAAAGAAACTTAAGCATGTGGACGTGAATGCATTATTACAGGATCTATCGGTTTCATTTTTTTATTTGGCGACTGCACAGATGGCGTAGAGGTTTAAGCGGTCGCCACGCCGCTTCCTACTACACTGAGTGTTGTCGGTTCGATCCCCACATGGCACGACACTTTTTGTGATCCCCAAATTGTCGTTCTGAGTCTAGGTGTTCTTTGTGTCCGTTTTATGTATGTTTGTGAAGTCCCTATAAAGTCCTAATAATAAGGATAAAAATTGAGGATTGTTATTACACAGATATAAACCCATCAGTGCAAACTTAATAACTGCTCTCAGTCAACTTTCAGTTTCTTATAAAATACACTTCAAGATGCTCGGATTTCAAATAGAATCTCTCTTTGTATCAAGAACCGTCTCGCTTAATAACAAACTTCTTATTTACACCTCCGTTCATTAGCGATCCCTCCTCACTGAGGACACTAATTCATATTTCCTTCCAAAGACTTTCAACGGTGCGATAAATTTTACGGACAAAGGGGATTGCAAATTAAAAACTCGGTTCCTTGCCAAGACCAATAATGAAACTTTAAATATTTTACTGGATGAGACAAAAATACACAATATCTAATAATGAGAGCGTAGTTATAATAACATGAAGTTTTTTTTACTATTTGTTTTACTCGCCTATCTTTAAATGTAAATTTTGATTTATGAAAGTATTTATAAAACAGAATATCTTATAGTCCATCCTAATCATTTGTTGAAATAAGTGATATTCACTTGTTTTAGCGATATTCATTTATTTTTGTAGAATTATTTTTTATATAAAAATTCTTGTTAGATTCATTTTAATTAAGTTTTTATTAAACAGACTAATGAGAAAAAAAAGCCCCTTGATCTTCTGAGATTGAACCTATTTTAGTTTGCGTGACCTATTCTCGCCCATGATTATTAAAATAATAGGATAACATATTGCATTTACACTAAAATGTAAATGATATAATTATGATATCTTCACCTAAATAATAAATTAATTCCAAATTTTTCCTATATTCAGGATATAATTTATTTATATCCGAGTTTTTCTTCATTATTTTCGTAAAATTGCTATAATTGGTTATATATTCTGAACCTTTGAAGTATTCTGTCCTTATACTCACATATCTGCACATCATGCTATGGGTGCTGTTACAATCAGTTAGTTATAAAAATGAACTCGAGCAATGAAATTAAGAAGTACGAAGATACACGTACACATAAAGGAAGGAGATTGAATTAAGTTTCTACAAAAGAAATCAATTTTTAATACCTAATACTAAATGCTAGAATTAGAAAATAGTACCATCTTGTTCCATATATCCTTGTTCAATACTAGGCAAGAAGAGCGCTAATTGCATTACGTTTGTATCACCTGCAGGGGAGGTTGGTAACTCGACTTAAATTGGATTCGTAATGAGGTAAAGGGCTCGTTTTATGCACAATTTTCTCGCCCTTGTAATGCACAAGACGTGTTAGGTGTGACGTGACTAAGATGCTTTGTAATGAACAATGTTTCTTGGTAGAATAGACAGCTTTATAAGTCTAGCCATAAAACCATGTATATATTTCTATATTTTCGATTACGAAAAGTTATTCACGTGCCTTAACTTAAACTCACGCTTAAGTTTGACTTGAGATTAAGTTAAAACGTGATAAATCTGTTAGTACTTTAGTAGTTGTAGCAATAAGTAAATTGAAATAAGAAGCTCATGAGTTTTATTTTATTGTTCGAAGAAAATGTTACATTAGTGTGTTGAACATATTGAATACAAATATAGTTTCTTGGTAGAATAGTGACGAGGTGATTGATTAAGAATATGAAGTATCACCACTCCTATTCATTACGCAGGCGTCGTAAGAGCCGGCTAAGGGAGCAAACTATGCAGAATAACAGCACTGCAAAGATGAGGTAAAATTAACATAAACCCTATACCAACTCGTCTGGCCAGCGTGGTATAGTAGGCCATAGGCTCCTTTATATGGAGAGGCCTATTTCCAACAGTGGACTATTAAAGGCTGTTGATGAAACATAGTTTGTATGTAGTTTGTTATATGTGTATATAAAAGTTCTTAAACATTTTGGTATTAAAGATTACTACTATGGTGGTCACTATACTAATGATTACTTAACGTAACAGTTTTATCTCTTTGTCATAAATACTAAAGAGGTGTGTATACTTTCTAGAAAATGTGTTACTTTTATATATAGAAAAAATATATAAATCTCATCATGCAAATCACATTATTGGTTCAACATAGAGAAAAAGTAGTTAAACTCTATCCGTAAAATTCGTATAAAACTTAAGAGAGCCATGCTGTAACAATGGAAGAACCATGCTTCGACACATTTAGAATAGAATTGTCCTCTTCCACTCAAAGCAATGCATTAGTTTACCTTTCCCTCTTTGTCATAAAATGTTTACACACTGATTAAAAAATTGAACAATCACCTCTAAAATACGTGTTCTAGAAACTTCTAACACTAACAAAAGTATTTCACAATTTAATCCTTCGGTGATTGTAACTCGTATGTGATACTAACTTTCGCCTACACATAAGCCCATACATTATATAATTAATCCAAGGGTGGGTTACCTCAGGCCGCACGTAGACATATTGTAACATTAAGTGTTTGCGGGATTGTTCAGCCAAAGATCAAGTGTAACCTCGTAATGTGGGTTAATTTATCTGTGGAAGTGCCTGAATTCAGTCGTGAGGTAAAAGTGAGAAGAATTGGTCCTATATTCATATTAGCCTTTTGCAGATAGAGTATTTTTTATGTTATACGGAGTCAAACGAGTCACCTAACGGTAAGTGACTATGGCCTCCCATGGAGCCCCCATAGCTCCCTCACTTATTCACCGTTTAACACCGACTTTCTCTGAGGCTGGTGTGAGGTTGTAAGGTATTACTTCGGTTAAGCCGGCTCATTTGTGACGAATCATGTGTCTCCCACGGTTAACTACAGTAGTTCACTTTACGATGGACAGAATGTTGACATACAGTGATTTGCAACTTTAAAAAAAAAATTGTAATATACTTTGTAAACATTAGCACGTAGAGCAAATTGGATATATAATTGACAAAATCAAATGATGCCAGAGAAAATGTTCTATAAGGGTAATTAAACATGCTTTAGTCTAATTCCGCTCCCGCGTATACCATGTACACCCAATGCCACCTCATCCGAACCCGCCGTAAACTAAAATTTATTCCAACACAAAACTAATTTATTATCTCCTTAATGTAGAGCCACACAAACTAAACGAACTACTGTCTTTATTAGATCACATTTTGATGTATGATCATTTGAAGCGTTGTAGTCTAGAATTTTTTGTGATGTATAAAATCTTTCCCTTCGCTTCCCTGGAATCTATGGAAGTAATTTCGACAAAAAGAACGGAAATGTGTAACATGACATTACAGAAGGACGAGCAATTTGATTTGAGCAATGAGCGCAAGCGGTGTCACACACACATCTTATGCGAATAAAACAAGGCTAATTTGTTTTTTTATACCTACCATAATTACACTAATGCAAATAGAATAGTAGATTCCGGTAGTCACATGCATACTTACTAACTACTCATATAAGTGTTCTGACTGCCTGATAGCTCTTACGTGTAGTATAAAAAAGACAATTTGTATTTATGAAATAAAGATAAAAATTGAATATAAGATGAAGATGCCAATTCTGAGACAAAAAGTTAGGAAAATTATTTCAGCAATCTTATTAGATTGTGAAGCGAGTATTTTCACCAGTTTAGAAAAAAAATGACAGTTGGAACTATCTATGCAAACCTATGAAAGCAACGAAATGACGAAAAATGTTATGCAGTATCTACAATGTCGGTATTTTTATAATGAAAGCAGAAATAAAAATATTTGATATTCTCTACTGAGAAGGCAAATCGAAAGAAAGTTTATACGATACGTAAATGTAAAGTTAATTAATGAGTAACTTTTATACTCTTATAATGTTCGTCAATAAGAAATTGGCAACCTAAACCTACATCATAATGAACACTTCTTTCAAATGCCAAATAATCTGTGGACAAGAAATATTACAAACCGGGTCAGAAAAATACCAAACAGTACACTACCTTACCATAAATAATGTATATTATACAAACATAGGATTACGCAAATATATGTATTAGGTACGTGTCTGTAAGTTTGATAATTATAATTTACCTAACTATGAATTCAGTTGCTGCCAACAGTTTAAGGTTGATAATCGGGTCACGTAAGCGTTGATTTAATGTAATTAATTAAGTAATAATTAATTATTGTTAATTAATGATTACATTGTCACAATGTGCGTAATTAGTGACTATTTGACTGACATTATGTTTGTAATTATAACGCTATATTCATTATTTTTAACTCATATATGACATTATCATGAAATATAACATGCTATAATCTAATTCTTTCAAACTTTTGCAATCCGATTTGATGCGATGATAAAAATAAGTTAAAACATAAAATCCATTTCTTAAATGTAAATATTTAAAAAAGGCTATTGAAGAAAAGTATGAACAGGAGAGGTTGAACATATAAAGTTTTTATATTTTTAGCTATTTTTTCTGTCAAAACTTGTTCTAACACCAGCGTTCATTGTAATATGCTGGTTCTGTATCCAATTTCGAAATATGTAGTATCACTTACCCTAATCCGCTTTTCCTTACCCATGGTTTAACCCTAATTTACCTTATTCTTGCGTTTGTTCTAAAAACGATCACATTATCAAAGAGCCGCATCAGCCCGATCACAAAATAAAAACAGTCAAAACAAACTTTGAAAATGAATTATAATTCAATTTAATTTCTATAGGATAAAATTAACATACCTATTTAAAATTGGCTATTTACCTGTTTAAAGTTTTTTCATTTCTTACATCAATTTGAACTCAAAAAAATAAATAAAACACAATGCAATCATTCGATCAATGCAATGAACAATGCAATCATTCTGTATTACCAAACCCTCAAAAATTGTAGCAAAAAAATTGTGATACAAATTTGTAACTTAACAACCCTGAGTCGGGATCGTAGGGAATATTAACAAATCATAATTAACTTACCTGTGAAACGTGTGTTAAATTAGAGGCGGCGTAATACGAGACCCTTGACTCTGGTTTAGCGTAGACGTGCTCTCCTATGTGTGTTGTTGCATATGGCGACGGAGAACGTCGGCTACCTGCACACAAAGAAATATTAATGTAGATATAAATATCTTCAAACTAACGGATATGTACTAATTCTGTTAAATTTTATGCAAATGTGATTTTTGAGCTTTTTACGTCTGATAGGTGTGTGTAAGAAATTAAGTAAGTATAAAAAACCTAAAGGTAAGTACACAGTGTGCGTACTTTATGTAATATACTATACATATTTTATACTAGCGTGTTGTTTTTTTTTTAATTTGAAAAGCGCTGCCTTAGTCACCACTCACCAGTCACCGGTCTGGTAATCGAACCCGAGGCCTTTAGTACCATACGCGACTGCGGTCCATGAGGCCTCGAGTTCGATTGCCGTACCTGACAAATTTTCATAGGGTTTTTATGGGAGTAAAAATAGCATAAGTTGTTCCTTATATAGACAGCTACCTGGTAGTAAAATATTATTAAAATCGGTTCAACCGTTTTGAAGATAATCCGGAACAAACAGACAGACAGTCAGACAGACAAAAAATATTTAAATTGGTTTTTAGGCATAGGCATCGTACAAACAACCGTGTGAGTATGAAAAAAACCTATTGTTTTAACATTACAAACAGAAACTTCAATTTTATTATTTGCATAGAGTATAGATTAACTAGTACACGTCTCGTGTCACGTCGCATTACCTTTCCGTTCAATATTTATGACAAAAAAATAGTAAAAAGACTAAGCATAAGCCAGCGATAAACCAGCTAAGTAAAACTTTTGATTGATGAAACTCTTTGATTTATTAAAGCCCTGATGATCCTAGTATCTGATATAAAGTGAGGAGTTGACAGTTCAGTAACTTAATAAACATAGAACACAGTACGAAAGTATACAAAGTAAATGTTATCAGTAAACTTAAGTATCATTAAAGTACACAAATAATAGTAACCTTACACACGGCTGTCTGATCCAGAAATAGGCAGAGACGATACTATGATAACAGGATTGCTAATATGTTTATCATAAGTATATTTACTTATATATTTCTAAATACATACATACTGTAGAAAAATAATACCTAAATACAGAATGAATGATGATTATTATAATTATTTGAGTAATGTAACCTAATCCATTGGTGAAAGAATTCTTTAAATCCTGTTAGTGGTTTAGGCGTGAAAGCTTAACAAACCAACACACTATCACATTTTTATAATATAAGTATGGATCAATGAGTTTAAGTGATAAACCGTGGTTTAGGATCTTAATTACAAAATAATATATTGAGAGAGATTACTTTATTTTGATTTTTGTCATTTAAGTATTTAAAGTTCTGATAGAACTGCTGCGATTAGTTAGGTCATTTGAGCTAGCATTTGAGTACACATTAATCAATTAATATGTAACTTTCATTATACTCCTTATTAAATAAATCGAAATATACGCAGTAAGTGGAGTTAAGATCATTTCAGGGCCGTACCGCACTACTGGAAAATTAATGAGAGAAATATTTCTATTGTTCCTTCTAACGCAAAAAAATAAACGTTACTTGCATATTCTATTCCTAATTCCTCTTTTAATTGGTGATGATGGTGTCGTGGTTCTACTGCAATATTTTACAAAAAATTGTCCTAGAGTTTCTTGAGAGCTATATAGACACAGAACATTCCATCAAAAACTCAGCTTACACAGATATCATCCCCGCGGTACTTTACTTTTGCAAAGGAAACTCAAAAGACAATGAGCAAAGCTCAGTTTTGCCTTTGGACTTTCTTCATTTGACTAACTTATTAGATAAACTGAGGAATGGAGGACTATAATTCGTACGTAAAAAAACACGTATTCTTTTAAAGTGGTACTGTTTGTGTGTACAAAATTCATTCTGTACGAGAAGACTGAAATGGCAAGCCTATTAAAATGTATTAGGGTCAGTTAAATATAAAGTCGATATATTGTCTCAAAAATCTAACTAGACCCAGATATCGGGATTTAAATAGTGGTGCGGCATTCCTACAAAAACTAGGTTTATATAAAGATGAACACAGTTTATAGACTGCGTTTTAACAAATCTGATAGAATTTATACACATCATCTAGTTGCATATTTAAAATAGAGTTTTATTAATATTTATTTTGTTCTTTTGAAATCTGAAAATGTAATGCACCACAAGTAAATTGAGTTTGATGCTATAATAACATAGTCGATAACAATAGTCACCATTGGTTTATAAATATTATTACAAACGTATGAATTATATCTTAGATTACGTCAGCAAGTAGTACAATCGCAAACTATATTTTGATTAATTTTATTTAACTGATTTCTAAACAGACTACGAATATCTTTAGATCTTTTTAAGATATAAAAAGACTCGTAGATTAGTAATTGAAAATATTTCATTTTGTTAATGTCTACATCTTCATCGTCAATTATCGCTTTATTGTCGTCGAAGAAACACGAGAAATTTACTACTACCGACCTAGTTTTCTCGCGACTAATTATATATTCTATTATAAAAAATTATTTGTAGAAAAATGAACTCAAGGAAACATGAATAAGCAATCAAAAGAAAGCGAACCACTTACCAAACGGAAACTTGTGCAAGCTAGCAATCGTAGCATAAGATCCTGTAGAACTTGGCGGTCTTCCAAGAGTATCAAGCCTTAGTAAGACGTTCTGGTGACTGCCATAAGCTGCTGTTGTATATGATGTACTGCAAATAAAATAATAATGAGTGTCGTTCTGATTTTATTGGCTACCTCGCTAACTGCTATTTGATTTCATTATATTGTAGTATGTGGGCCTAGGAGCTTTAACTGTCCCGAGTGATTTAGAAACTAGTTATGCAATTTGGAATCAAATTGCTTTAAAAACAGGCTTTGATTATGGTTAACAAAAAGATATAAATCCTTTTTAAATTTAATTCAAAATTATGTTCAAAGCACTTTAACTTAAAAAAAACATTATGGACTTCAATGTGGTTATTTCATATTTATGATAATTTTACACTTTTGGCAGTAGAATACTTTTCAATTTTTTTAATTGACACATTTGCCTTTAAAATACGTTTAAAATATTCGTAAATCAAACTTTGACTGTATCAAAAGATATAGATGCTCTATATAAATACAGTAATAAGACTTAAATATTATAAAAGTAAGACAAACTTTACACAAAGTCTTGCATAGTTGTTGTTAACAGTTCCTTTTACTAGTATAGACGAGCTTATACTGTCAATTTACAACAAGATTTAAATACTTTCTTTTGATGCTGAGGGTAACGCTCAAATTTTGTACTTCTTGTTAATTTGATATGCTACAACGACCAATATAAGCAATTCAAGAACGTATCAAACTATTTACTAATAATAAATCGATTTAGAAAGAATACCACTTTGAGATGAATTACAATTAACACAAACATAAATAAAGATATTTACGAAGTAATATTTGGGCACTCAAAATATAGGAAAAAATATGAAATCAATTCTATGCTGTTTCAGGCAATCAGATCGAGGAATATATATCTTAGTATTCGTTACGTCTAATTACGTTTGGAAATATAATGAAATATACTATTTAGATATTCAATCGAGATTTCTATTACGTCAATATATAGGCAATAGGCAAGTGTTTATCGAAACAAAAACTTCTTAAAAACAAGTTACTTATTCGTGTTAGTTATTATTCGAGTTACCTACAATATTAAAACGAATTAAGTGAATATCGATAGAATGGCGACTGTACTCGTAATAAAAAAACATTATTGTCTTTTAAAGTCTATGTGGTTTCGAACCCGTTAATTTATTGTATGTATAATGCTGCCAATTTATTGATTTAGCTAGTTTTAAATTATGTTTAACTGTATTGTGTTTAACTGTATATCAACCAATAAAAATACTTTAAATTGAACGAACGAACGAAAACGAATCAGTCACTTAAAAGTGCCAAAAGTCATTTAGCACCTTTACAAAAGGTGCCTTGATTTTACTATTCAATTTTATCTTTACAACCACGAAAATAGCCCATAAATAAAATAATTTAAGGATGTATTGCTTTACTATCGTGTTCAACTCAAAATTATAACTCTATACTTCGGAAACATAATAAAATGCCTGATGTGCGAAAATAACTATGAAACAACACTTAAATATCTTAACAAATAACTATCTATTCAGTTCCCCACAAATTCAAAATCTGTTCCTGACATCTTCCCATAAATGTGAACATAAATTTCCTATTTCGTACTACCATAAAAGCATGATAAAGTCTTGAGGATATCGAGTAACTATAAAAACATTTTGCTTGTCTATCATAGAAGCGTACCGCATCATCCATCACACATGTCAGGTCGCTGCCCCCTATATGTTTTTGGGATTTGGTTTAAATTAGGAGAAGAAGCGTTGAATGAAAAATCTTTTAAATTAATCGAACTAACTGATTTATTTAAAGGAATCATTTGAAAAATAGCCAGTAAAAATTCTTCATCTTTTGTGGTCCTTTGCTTTCAGAGATAACATGTCTTTATTTGCGGAAGACCTTTCAACTTCTTATGATGGCCTTTTATGAAAAATTTTTAACGACATTAAGCACTTTCAGTTTTCTTAGATATGTTCTACTTAATTGCTGAATTTCTTAGATATGTTCTACTTAATTACTTAATTGATATGTTCTACTTAATTATGAAAATCACATGTAATTTCAATGGTATTTAATTGATTTGTTTTTGAAATAACAGGAGTATCATACGAAAAATAGTTTTTTAATGCCTTAAATAATGCTGCTTTTTAGTATTCTCATAACTCATAACCTCTAGCTACCTCCCTCATGAAAGCTTTTGATTTAGTTAATTAATTATTAAATATAGTGACGTATGAGTTAACTCTTTTTTCCAAAAGATGAATAATAAAAAGTGAAGAAGAAAACAGGTATGTGAAGAATCTATTCTGTTCGAATATTAATACATCTAACAAATATCTAACAAATAGAAAACTCTTAAGATGAAGTTAATAAAATTGTACACGCTAACGTATTTATGTTGTACCATACAAAAGCTTAAGGTCAACTTCAACCTGATATTGTGTTGAAATTGGTACATTATTGAAAAATTTATAAAGCCCTGAAGGGCACAATGCAGAGGGTTGGGTCCCTATACAAGAATATTTTCTAAGAATTTAGTTTTGCCTTAATTTACGGCCAGTTTATATGCCATGCATAATGTATCGCTTTTGTGAGGTTTGTACTCAGCCTGTCCATTGTGGCACGCAAATTTCGGTGTTTCTCAACCTTGTAAGGGTAAAATTAGTAGAAAATTGATTTTTTTATGACAGCAATTATAAGACGAAATTAGTAAAGAACGTCTTGACAGTAATAAAAATAAGTGGTTTGAGTATTTTTATTTTTCTTTGATAATCAGAATGGATCAATAATATCCAAGTAATAATATTAATTTGTATGTTCCTAGTTAGTTGTGAATTTTAATACCTCCTTGAAAGGTTATTAATTAAGGTACCTATTCTATTATTATATAATTTCTCTCACTACATGTTTAGTTAGCAGCGATAGGCTTATGTATTGTAGAGTGCGTAAAATATATATGCCTACATTTCGGAGACACAGGCGTGCGTATATGAATGATAGTGTGTATATTATAGTACACAGGCCATGCTGTAGGTTTCCAATTTTAAACAATAACTTGTATCGGATCGTAGCGATATAATTCGTAGCAGTCTAAACAAGTCGTAGCACTTTCTCGCTCCGTAGCATACCGTAGCGTATTATATTATAGTAACTGCCTTCAGGTGACCTGTCTGTTCTATTCCCCCTTTACCTTAAAAATAGAACCAGTCTTGTGACTGAATTTTGCATTCCCTCGGAGAATTTAATAAGCTTCAACAAAATGGCCCGAATGTAGTTAGGCCTGGGAACATTTCACTGAGTGATATTCTTGCCGCTACCTTTTGGGATGTTCCTAGAAGATTTTTGTTTGATTATTATTAATCAAAATATTTTTCTTGTACTTTGATGAGTAGGGACGTTACTTCCCTACGGACTTCCTTAGTAATGATCGGTTAAGTACAAATGACGCTATTGACGGGACTAACGGCCAGAGGCTATGAGTTCTATTCCCATTTAGAACAAATAATAGTATTATAACAACCATCACTTGCTCTTTTTATTGGTTTACTAATTTTTAATATGTTTATCAGTATCTAGTTTTCACAGTAAAATATTCGCCCTATGTTTAAAGTCGAGTAACGAAAAAAAAGACTAAGAAATGTTTGCAGGTTAGTCGAGTATCTTTTACGTTACTTAAAAAATTCACTTAGTTAAAAATGTTATATCTGTGTCACAACTAACACTAGAAAACTACGAGTATAGTATACTAGACGATAATATAATATAGGTATCAGTGCTCTGGCCGCTTTGCGTCAGCCTAACACTATTGAGAAAGCTTTGTATACCCATTATGTGCATAAAAATATATATATTGGCATAGAAATAGTTCGTTCTAGTACTAGAAATTACAGTGTTCAGAGTTGCTTTCGTTTTCGAAGTTAACGACATAAAGAAACTTACTTTCATAATAATTTCAAAGACAAGGATCTTTTATTAACACACGATCTAATCAACGCCTGTGACATAGTGTATTTACCTAGAAAAATACTCGGCCAAGTGCGTGTCCAGCCTTGGGCAGTGTAGGGTTTCGTTGTTGTTAAATAACCGTCTTTTACAAGGAAATAACTTTATTTAAGGTTTTTTTTACAAAATTAATACTTTATTAACTTATATTTTAAGAACCAAGTTTCCAAGCTACGCACCAATAGAGAGACAGACGGCCCTGGCGAAACTATAAGGGTTACTTGTCAGGACTACAGAATACAAAAATAATGTTCTACTTTTTGAAATCATGATAAGGACTACGAGTATTCTAATTTCCACAAGACTAATTTGAATAATTCTAAATCTTTTTACCAATATAAAAAATCACAAGTTCCAAAATGAACTAATTTGTTTTTTGTAAGACGAGTTTAGTAAGTCACTTCAATTTAGATTGAGTACTCAACTGTAATAACTTTTAAATTTATTGGCTCTCTACTATTTAATGAGAATTCTTTACAGTTCAAGAGTACTTGAGGGCTTATATGGCCTTATTAAGCTTGTACAATATACCAGATTAATAAGGCTTATAACATATTATGTTAAGTACGGTAAACGAAGATTATTGTTTGCGAAAGTGAAACTTAGGATTAAGTTTCTATGGTAATTTTACTGTCAAATTATTCATAATATTAATATTATAAATAGAAAAGTAACTACGCAGGGCAACAGCACTGCAGAGAGAATGAAAAGTTGACACAAACCCTATACTAACCCGTCTGGCCAGCGTGGTGTAGTAGGCCAAAACCTCCTTTCTAAGGAGAGGCCTATGTCCAGCAGTGGACTAGTAAAGGCTGTCGATGATGATGATGAAATAGAAAAGTAAATCTATTTGTCTGTATTTTTATCTATTACACTTTGATGAATTTTGGAGTACTGATAAACGGGTGTTGGAGTCTTAGACCATTTGTCACTAAAATAATTTAGAAGGTGGTGAAGCAGGGGACGAAAGGATGCCTGGGAGATATTCAATGCAAACGGAGTTCTAAAAACGAATGTGAGTTTGTTTCATATTCATGCCTTAACTACTGGACGTCAAGAATAGAGACAGAGAATAGAAAGAATGGAGGGGGACGGAAATGGACATATGATATCTCTTACCCGAAAAAAAGTACTTACATGATGTACATAAACAAGATAGGGTTGACTTATTTTTTACGACTTAAATACAAAAAGTACGACACGCCCTATATGATAACTGACTTTCGTTTACTGTCATCTGCAGCTCAAGAATCGCAAGTGAATTGTCAGCCTTTGAAGGTTTTTTATTGAAAGTTTGAAACTTATCCTAGGTTCGGCAATACCTTAAGACGGAGGCCCTACTATTTCATGGGCCCCGTCGTAGTCCACTCGCCGGCGCTTCAATCGAGGATGGGTTTTCGGAATCGGGATGGGTTTTCCCCTCCACCCGCATTAGTTTTGCCAGCCGCGAGGGGGCGGCGTCCGCGTGTGCCGGTCGTCGCCTAAAGAGAGGGTCGCCTGAGACGTAGCCCGCGCCAGGAGCGGGCTGACGCTGGGGGGGGGGGGGGTCCAGAAGGCGATAACTCCATGGACCCCTCCCAAAATAGAAGCGCAAAGAGGGCACACCGTGTGGTTTTAGTCGGTTCGAGTCCGACACACAGCCCCGCCGAATAGAGAACCCCGCCGGGGTGACGGTCCGAGGGGATTTCCACACGTTAAAAAAAAAACTTTTTCAGATTTTTAACTCAAAACTCCGTCGTTTATAAATCAATTTTGAAAATTATTTTTTTATTTGGGTGGGTATATACATATAAAATATACTTTCCGTTTGATCCTATTCAAATTTAAAGAAATCAGTTCATTACAGTTCATGATAATGGAGTCGGTTGAAGTTCGCATTGAAGTCGGTGATACTTTTTACAAGTTAAATAAATATATATCATTTCAATACACTTACAACTTTCTATGTATTACTTGAAGTGTACGATTGACGTCAACAGGCATGGCAAAAATGATGGAAGTGGGTTTATAATTATATTATAGCTTTATATACGCCTCTGCTAAGCATGTGTGTATGTAAGTGTATAAACTTACTGTATCGAATCGTGATGCCTCGCCTTGCTGCCTCTCTTGTACAGCGTGCCGGCTGCGGCAGCAGCAGTTAGCAGCGCTAGCGCTGCTGCTGCACACCCGCCCGCTGCAAACAGTACCCCTCCGGAGTTTTGTGACGCGTCCCCCGCCAGCCGGGCAGTTTCGTTACGCGGTTGTGGCACCGTTGATAACCCTGTAGACAGAAATAAACTAATAGAATTCTAGGTAGTAACTAATATGTAGGTGGTACGATCGTGGCGCGGCGGCAGTGTTCAGCGGGATCATCGGTTTCATTCCCGTTTAATGAAAAAAATTGCTGAAATAAATATATCTCTTTTTGCATTTTTATTTTTGAATATTTAGAAGTAGTAAAGGAATAACTATGTATGTGGGTAATTAAGAACATGCACCGTTTGAAGGTGAGCTAACTTCGCCTACAAACAGTCACACTATCCAAAGTGGCATAAGACATAAGACAGATCTTGGCCTTTCTAATCACCGTTAGTACAGTTAGTAATTCCCAGAGAAAAGTAAAACTCATATAACCCGCAAACAAGCAATTTCAAGAAATTTTTGGCTCCTGAAACCGGTTATATAAATCCAAAATAAGTCATTACTCCTCCTCCAATTAATTCTACCCATTCCCATTTTACCCATTCTCCTCGAGTCATCATCATCAGCAGCAGCCTTTAGTAGTCCACTGCTAAATATAGAACCCCCCTCTCCCCCTCAACTAGAAAGGAGTTATTCACATATGAGTAATATCGCACAACTTTACTAAACATAAATTTACTTCCACTCAGAAATATCTAAGCTCGTTGAAACTCTCACCTATAAACTGTAAAACATATTTCAAATAATTCGTGTAATTAGGCAAACAATAAAAACAACGGTAATTTTGACGCGTTGTATAATAAAATAGGACTCTATCATTCAAACCTTCAAACCCATCTAATACCAAATAAATGAAATATTGAGTGTAATAAAAAAACTTCAAGGTAAAGAAAGGGGATCCATAATGGCGTTATAATGAGTTCGAATACTTGGGTACTATGCTCATAAAACGCCCCTTCTGGTATCAATAACGTGAAGAATATTGAAAAAAAAAACGATATTTTTCTTTGTAATAATATTAGGCTAGCTCTCTTACAAAACAGATTAAAGGTTTTAAAGGGTTTGTCTTTATTTAATAAGTAACTTAGGTTATGAAATATTCAATTTAAGAAAAAAATACGAAGAAATTAAATTTAAGATAGAATCTCAAACGTAACGTAACGTTAATTACCTCTTTTTTATAGGTACCATTTGTAAAAAAATACCTTGATTTGATTAAACGGAGGAACAGATTGGTTTAAAACCATTCTTTATTTTTATTGGGAATATTTTGGAATTATTAAAAAAGTTAAATAACCTTTTTTGAGGTGAATCCTTAACTTAATTCTCATTTGAGTCTCTTTATTACTCGTAATATTAGGGGTTTCAGTATGAAATTGCCGATTTGTATGGAAAAGTTAAAACTCTTTTTTCTAGGATGTAACATATTTATTTAATCAAAATATTTATCCTCATTATCTATACATTGCCGCCATCTAAACGGAAGTTCATTTATGCCTTTACGATTTCACCATCTCCTTAAATTCAGCGCTATTCACCTGTGTGGGCGGTCTTCCACGTGGTTCGTTATTCAAGTCGAAGTTTCCAAAAACGCAGGGTGCGTTCACTCGGGCACGCCGTCATCGTGGCGGTAAGACCCGTTATGGAGGATTGGCTCGAGAGGCATCACGGGGCCCTCTCATACCGACTGACGCAGGTGATCACTGGAAAAGGATGTTTCGGGGATGACGGGACACGCTGGCAGAATGCCCGGCGTGGGTGGAGCAGAGGCGTGACCTCTTGGCGGCCATCGGGGTGGAAGTTTTCTCGCTCGATAACCTGACTGCGGCTATCGTGCGGAGCGAAGTTATGCTTGCGAAGGAGATGACGGAGAGTTCTAAACCTCTCCCGGTCCGCCAGGCTCAGGAACTGGCAAGGTACCGCAGACGACTCAGGCGCCGGAGGTCGCAGCACGACCTCCGTCCTCCATAAGCACAGGCCTAGGGGTGACAGGTGAGGCCATCTGTCACCCTAGCAGAAGCAGGCCGGGGTGGCGGCGAGCGCGCTGCGAGGCACAGAGGGAACATGAGGGTTCCCACACAGGGATTTCCTTTCTAGGGTACACCTGGTTCCCCGACTACTGGTACCTGAGACGGCGTGCGGTTTTAGTCGGTTTGAGTCCGACATTACCACCGGTATATGGTATCCGAGGGGATTTCCACACATTTTGTAATTACTTTCAAGAAATAAATATTCCAATTAGCCCGTCTTTACGGTACCTTACTTCACAACATTTAAATTACCCTAAAGTCCCTATTTTCTAGAAAATACAATACATGGTATCTTGTCACTATCATCATTATAGTTCAATAGAAATTCTCAATCATAAGATTATAAATACGTATCCAGTTTCATATAATATATTTAAAAAAATACACTTCTTTTTTTATTCATGACTTAAGGTTACAATCCAGATTATCACAATAACAGTGAAGAAAACCACAGTCGGTTTATGTTTTACATCACTTGCTCTGCGAATACTGTGTTACTAAAAAATTCTATACATTATATTTTTTACATATACCTATTTATGCTTTTATAAGTGTTATTGTCACTTCCTTTGTGAGGTAAACCGATTTGAGAGGCGTTTTACATTTCTATGGATTCTCTGAGAGTTTGCCTATAATACTATTTTCTCGTTCGTTAAATAGTTGTGGTAAATCATATAATGCAAACGAACGAATTTAAAAGTCAACACTTTTCCAATCAGCGTTCGACCTCACTAAACTTTCTAAAGTTCGTAATGATAAAAGTCTTATTCCTCCGAGTCCCAGTGTCCTTAATCGGTTGAGTAGCTTCGAAAATTATCTGTAGCTAACTAAAACTTTCTAACAATGTTCGTAAGGGCTTACTTGTAGAAGAAAGAAATCTGTTTTCTTGAAACAAATTTTTCTAGAATACTGAAAACTTTAATATCTTTTGCTAGAATATATATTGATTAAAACATGTATAATTAATATTATTTAACGGGAATTAACGCGATCTCTTATTTAGGGTATTACATACCTCTGGTTTGCCTGACGTTTCGACCAGGTTGCACCGGCCGTGGTCACAGGCTGACTGAAACCAGAGGTATGTAATACCCTAAATAAGAGATCGCGTTAATTCCCGTTAAATAATATTAATTATCATGGAACGCGAAAGTTTAAAAGTTAGTAAAACATGTATTTCAGCCAAAATATATTTTCTGGTTATAGTAAATAGCATTTACTCCGACTTCCAAGACGGAGGGTTGGAAGTTGGAAGGTATCGTTATATTCATCTTAATTGTGAGAGTGACAGTCAGTGAAATCTGGTTTTGTAAATTGTAAGAATACACAAACAGCATGAAAATGTATACCTATACATTTTCACGCAGTCGGCCCCTAGTTTTTAAATAATTAGTTTTTTTAACACTCTAATCATTGTGTGATATCTATACGAACTATTTCGAGGTATTTTCAGAAACCCTTTATTTCGGCATGTGGTAATCTTATTGAAATTAAATTTGCATGAGTTAAAAACATGTTTTACTACACCATGTGCTAAATCTTGAAACTCCTACTTACATAAATATTGTTTACGATAAATGTACGTGTGAAAACTATATCTACATTTTGAAGGTCACTGAAAATTGACCGACTTCTCATATCTTCTCATATCCTAGAAGCATAAAGATTTATCAACTAAGATTTATAGAAAGAGAAAAAAATATAATTGAAATTTCGGCTCCACAATTTTCGTACTTTTTAAATCGTTTTATTAAACCATTCACAACATTTTCACTGTTGAAATTTCTTCAAAATTTATAAATATTCAATTAAAGTTTCATCATATATATTATCACTTAACTAAAACTAGGTTTGTTTACAAAAAAATAAGGAGAACCATTTTTTTAACGATAAAACATTACACTCACATAAAAGAGCGGTAGAGGTAAAGTTACTTCCACACGATGTATTTTACAAAGAGAACCCACTACAAAACAATGCTCAGCTTAGTTCATTAGTTAGTAAAAAAACTTGTTAGTTTGTTTTCCAAGAGCCTCCTGAATGTTTCATTAAGAGAAAGGACCACTCACGCTTAAAAAATATTACGATCTATTGAATATATTGCTACACAAAAAAGACTTCATTATTCTTGGTGGTTCAACAAAAAACCTACAAAAAACTGGTATAATCATACCAAACAATCTTTATTATAATTACATGAAATATACATACGCGAATCTCCCTCATGAATATCCTTTGCTTGACGATAAAAATTAACATTACAAATACGTCGTAGAAATTACGAATCTTTTGATGTGGCTCGAAGGCTTTCGCTTAAAAAATAAACATAAAGAAACGCTAACGCGTGTAAAAGGAGCAAGAAAATTTCCAAGTCAAATAAAACGTGGAATAGGACAATCGATACTGTCTTGTAAACACATTAAAAGAGGAGGGTGCGTAGGGCTGCGTCGAGATTTCCACGTGATTATTCTAATGCAAGGATTACTAAGGCTTTTCGTGGTATGTTGTTTTATTTTTAACATTGTATTGTGTCGGAAACTTTACAATAAGGCGATCAAATCAGATAAATAGATATAACTTATAAGGGAACAAAGAAGTATGGATCCCTTGATGTTGGTGTTGTACCTAATATTTGTTTTATGTTTAGTTAAAGTGAATAACAAAGCTTTCTTAATATTGAATAGAAAATAAATCTAATTTGGTAATTACATTTTCTCGACACTGTTCTTTTTTACAAATATGTTTATGAAAACAATTATCTCAGAAACAAAACGGATTTAACTAAATTACTGACTAATAAATCATTTATGGTTTTACCTAATACTTACTTAATGATATTAACGTATATTTAAAAACCTATACGGAATACGCATTCCCGTAGAGCTCGGTAAATTAACTCTCTACCAAAAGAATACATTATGTCAGTTTTATGTCTGAAGATGGCCGCAGAAAAAAACATCTGTACATGGAAAAAACCCAGCCATCCCTGCCTGAACGTTTCCACTTCACTTAAAAAAATAGATTCTGCTTCTAAATCGAAGCATTAAAAAATAACCTTTCTCGGTATTCATATCGGATAATAGTAAAAAAAAACTTAAAGAGCACTTCTTATGAAATGGAATCAAAGAATTTACCATCATGTAAGATCAGAAAGACCTATCAAGAAAACAATAAAATATTTATAATTCATTCTTTTAGTAACGTTCAAGAATGCTGGTAGGTCCCAGAATGCATCGTCGAATGTCTCGTAAACTGTCGATTGTCCGGTTGTAACTTTGAATATTCAGGGGAGCGATTTGTTGGCACGTGTTAAGTACTTTTTACAATAAACCATAAACTATTTTTTTCGTCTACTATATTATTTAATACCTACACACTAATACGAGGTATAATAATAAAATTACCACTAGAATACACAATTCAAAACAGGCATTTTGTACCAAAACTATTCCTTAAAAAATCATATTGCTTGCGAATGTTTTATGATAATTAGCTCATTAAAAGCTACGTGATTATGAATTTTTCATGTTAATAATGTGCCTGGTACTTTACGAATGTGGAATTATTACAATTTACGTGTGTGAATATCTTCCAACTTATGTGTGAATACACTTAAAATGTATTTATTTTATCTAGCGTAAATTATAGTCAGTCTAGAAATATTCCTTAACTTACCTAAAGGTATCTAAAGAAAAAGTTAAACTTTTATGAATTAATTTTAACTCCAGGAGTGAATACTCGATTAAGTTTATTAAAGATGCCTATACATTTTTTTTGGTGTATTTCAAGTATACAAGACATGTAAAGCATAACACACCGTTGCAGACATGCACCGGTGGGATCCGAAGTTTTATATCTGCTATCTGTTTTCTTTTTCACAGACTCCTTTAGTAGTAAAAGTAAATGCTACTCTAAAATAATTATGATAGCACTGATATAAGACAGAAAATAATATATACTGAGTAGAAGATAGTCTACAACAATTTTTTTTAGACCATGGACATGAGTTGTTTTTTTTAACAGATTGATATGACAGCGGGCGATAGCAATCTATCAGCAAAGGCCACCTCTGGCGCCCTCATGATTAGTATTGTCATTTAAGGCTAATAAGCACAGATAGACATACGTAAAACCACAAACATAAAGCATCACTCGATTACATATATATGATGGTTGGCAAATATAGTTTTATTTAAAAAAAACTGTTCAAAATAAAGTATTTTCGTGTTACTGAATATTTATATGTAATACTTTTTACTTAATAATAAAAACTGTTCTAAAAAGATTAGAAAGAAACCTTAAAAAATCTTCTAATGTAAATTAAAGACGTTGCCGCCAACCCTGCGTGTCCGGGACCCTCTCGATACGTCTCCATCCCTCAATATATCCTGTTGCTTCTACATGCTAATAAAGAGTACGCCAAGTGATTTGTAGGGCGAAACTCTGTACGATAAGGATATACGATACGATGTTATTGTTTTTGATTACACTTGTGTATCTCTGTATTTTCTTCCTGAATTTTATTTTATTTATTACATTTGTTTAAAATCAATTTTAAGTGTAAAAATTGTGATTTAATGCTATAAAATATTTTTAGAGACACGCATTTACAGTTGAATAACAAAAAAAAACTGCATTAGGCTTTTTTAACAAATGTGACATTTGTGACCAAATCTATTATTTCAATTGCATTTGATAAATATAGAATACTTGAGAAAGAAAACAAAACGTTCTATGGAAATAATACTTAGTTTTTATCTCTTTGACGAAACTAATTTTTAAGTATTATTTCCAGTTATTATTAGAATTTATTAAAATGAATACTAATCTTATAGAATAAATATGTTGGTAAAAAAGGTTTTTTCGTATTAATTACTACGAAAAGTAAACTATATCTGATCAATATTCTTATCGTTTTCTTATATCATAAGTACAAAAAAATAAACTTAGAAACTGATAATAGGTTGGTTCGCATTTTCTAGGGAAAGTATCAAATCACAATGTTAACCTACTATTATCAGTCGATGCCAAGTGACAATTGTGATGAGTCTATAATTACATAAATTATGAAAGTTAATGCTACGTGTGAACCTAAAGACATGTTCAGCTACGTAATTGTAGACACTTCACAAATGTTTCGAATGCAGGCCTTTACTAGTGAGTATAGAAAGCCTATAATAACGTTGTACTTTATAATCACTTTAAGGAACCACATATGCTTTTAACAAGAAGGTTCATCAGCCTCATTATGTATTATACTCAATATATACTTATAACAATGAAGAATTATAATAATAATGAATACTTATAACAATTCTATGTGCAATAGGAGAGGCCTATGTCCAGCAGTGGACTCCGATAGGCTAATGATGATGATGATGATACTTATAACCATGCTTATGTGGTTTTTTGCACCTAACTTGCAACCTTTGTTCTTCCAGAGCCGTAATGTAATAATACTTAATTTGCCGCACTAGACGAAATTATTATGACTACGGATGAGTCGTTATATAATTGAAGAACATAGTCCTAGTCATAGAAATTGAAAATCGTATAGTGACTGTGAACTCTCTTCAAAGAATGGGAATTATGATCAAACGTTTACGTAATCTGGATAATATTTTCGTAATTTATAAAAATAATTTCTAAGCACATGAATATTTGACGTAAGTTTTCATATTCTGTCCCATCTTTAGAATTCAATATATATGTATATGTTTCAATGTGTATTTAATCGACTATTGTGTTTTCCAAGATTGCATATGTATTGCCCACCCAGGGGTAAAATAGATTTTTAGTGTATTATATATGTGAACTTGAATTGAAAGTAAAAAAAACTAGTTACATTCGCAAGATATGAATACTCGCAACTTGCTCGAAAAACGAAAACTTTTGCAAATTTACTGATGCTAGGAAACTTACAGAAAGCCATATTTTATCCCTCTGCTAAGGCGGAGGCTACTGAATTTATTGTTATTATTATAGAACTGTATTAACATTTGAGAAACACCCATCGTAGTTGGTTTTAGTGCCAACTGTAGTCATAAAATGATTTGTTTGGAGGGGAAACAACAGTTCGTCAGTTCACAATTGTTTTGTCGGGTTTTCAAGTATTATTAAAAGTAGCGTACTTGGGGTTGTTTAGGGTGTAGCTCTGACGAGGCATAAACTGTTTCATGTTTGTGGTTGGAAAGTGGAGAGGAAGTAAACAGGATAAAAATTGTTATGAATTATAATCTAGCAGAAAGGCAGGAAGAAATTAGTCTGCACGCAAAAGAAAAAAGAAAACATCTGACAAAAGCAGAAAAGTTCAGACCTTTTTGCTGTTGTCAGATGCATACATTTTATTTTATGTTATGTGTAACATAACATTATTTACCCAGAATAACTAATTCATCAACGCCGCTGGGGCTACAAACTACAACTACGAAAGGATATTTGAAAATATCACCCCTAAGGGGGCGAAATAAAGAATGAACAGTTTGTATGGAAGTTCGTCATTTTCAAAGTTAGAAACATGCTATGAGAAATAATCACGTGAGCGAAGCCGCGGGCAATAGCTACTCATAAATATCCATACTAATATTATAAATGCGAAAGTGTGTCTGTCTGTCTGTTACCTCTTCATGCTTAAACCGCTGAACCAATTTAGATGAAATTTGGAAGAGAGATAGTCCGAGTCCCGCGAAAGGACATAGGGTAGTTTTTAAACCAGAAATCATCCTTTAATGGGGTGAAAAGGGGGGTGGAAGTTTGTATGGGGAGTCAATAACCGCTGAACCTATTTAGATGAAATTTGGTATGGAGATAATTTGATTCTTGAGGAAAGTAATAGGCTACCGCGATAACCGACATTTACGCGGGCGGAGACGCGGGTAAAAGCTAGTAATAAATAAAATTTTCACAACTGCAAGAATAAGAAACATGTAATAAAGAATAGTAATAGAAACAGAATCAAAAATTGTTCAGACATATGCCTTAATGTTCTAGAATTAACCTGTTCGTTGAAATTTTACTCTTGTAAGCTACACAATACCATACTTACGCTTAAAAAAACACTTACCTTTCAAACAGATCTTGTTTCTCTTGAAGAGTAGCCGGATGTCTTTATGAGCGCGGTCGGGTGCTGATATGTTCAGCTGCATCGTGACCAAGATCTCTGCACTTCTGGTACCCGTGCAAGGCAATCGCACTCTGAATAAAAAAAGAAATTATTTAATGATATTAATTTTGCTGTGTCTTGAGCAATGCAGTAGTTTAAATTCACTATATTAAGTGATGTGGTTTAATTTCCCATATTAGAATTTTGTTTTCAGTTAATCTATGTTTTTTGTTAGTTTTTATTTGTACTTTTATAACGTTATAATTCCTTCAGCAGTTTTATGTTAAACATTTTTTTTTATTTAATTGATATTTTTAAGTTTTCAAGTGACAATCTGTTACGTGTATGTACACTACACTAAACTTTAAGTACCTTTTTTTTTTTTTTTTGCGGAAATCCCCTCGGATACCACCTGTCGGTGAAACTTCAAGTACCTAACATCTGTGTTAAGGTTATCTGTAAGAGCGATAAGACCGCCAAACGTTACCTCTACCTATATGTAACTCATCTTTTGTTATGTGCTAAGTGTATACAATAAAGATATGAATAATAAAAAATGAATTATGTGTCATATACAGATTGTATTTTATATAGTATATCTCAAAGGAGTAGACGGGTTACAGAATAGTAAATGACTGCACTCATGGACACTTGCATCTCAACAGTTACATGTGCATTACTGGTTACATGTATTTTATTTAAAGCAAAGAGGTAAATCAAGAGACATTTCAAATGGGATAAATAAAATTTAAACAAGAAAACAATTCTTAAAATAGTTGGAACGACTTCAGACAATACTAACAAAGAGAACTAAAAACCTAGTAGCAATCGTGGTTGATTTTTTGAAGAGTTCCGTTATCTGTCTGCAAAACACATCATCAGTTCTATATGAAATTTAAATGGAACCATTTCGGATAAAGCCCTTTCGAACAAGCAAAGAATTTTTAAAATCCGTCAATATGTGACGGAGTTATGCATGAAGATACATAAAAAAAATTAAACATCCGAATTGATAACTTCCTCCTTTTTGAAGTCGGTTAAAAACAACATGTAGATACACAAATAGGACTCGCTTACAAGTATGACAAAACCCTTTGCTATTTTTTACATAGGAAATCCATTGAAGTTTACACGATTTGGATAAAAAGATAAATAAGCTAGAGTTGTGGCCTCAGGACGAGTAATGCCTTTTATTGTGTTAATTTTACAAAAGCTTGCGGATTTCCAAAAACATTCACTGTGAATGTATTTATGTGCCCCACAAATTATTATTTTTTATTTGAAGAATTGAGAATTTTCTTATAATATCATCGATAGACTCTATAAGCAATGATCATTGCGTTAAGTCAGACAAGGGTTATACTAACGAATCACTTCTGTACATGAGAAGAAACTACCAATATGAGTTGGAAGCGATGAAGTTGTTAGTATCGAAAATAAGCACGTGGACTGTATATTGTACTATTATATTCTAGTCTATTATATTTAGAGGAATTGTACAATGTTAACAAATAATACAAATATTTAATATGAGCGCGCGACATACGCTTCGCCTCACGATCGTCCGAGGAGTGTCGGTGGGTGCACGCGGCCCGCGCGTCTGTTGCTGATGTTATATATATGTATATGAATAAATATATACTTTTTGTATAGGCGCGCCAGCGCGCGCTGTGTCTAGACATAAGTATTTGCTCATATTACAGTAGTTACAGTAATTTACTGAATGATAATGACAGGAACTTATAAACATGTTGAAACATTCTAAAGTAAGCAGTCTTAAGTTATTCTACCTTTTTCAAAATGTTGACGTTCCTGAGGTAAAAAACTACATGACAACCTTATAATATATTAAAGGCACATGAGTCACTTCATTTCAAATTCAATATATTTTTTTCTCACCTAAACGTCTGGAGCGTAGTAGGCACGAACCCTCTCTCGGATATATTAACTTGAGGCGGTTGCATGGCGCCACGGCTCTCATAGTCTATACCCATCACGTACGGTAGCTGAAAGAAACGACACTATGTATATTTTAAAGTATGCTTACAGAATTTTTGGAACTTTTATATGATTAAGATATATATTAGTTTAAAATATGAAATTAAATTGGTTGTAAAAATATAGAGAGTGATCGCTCGATCTTTATTTTTTTGTAAAATACTAGTTTTTCTGTATGAAAGGTATCGTATGCTTTTTACTTTACTCTAGACAAAGTGCATTCAAAATTCCATAATGCTCAGATGAGTAGTGAAAAACGCAACAAGCAAAAAAAAAGACATATTTTTATCTATAACAACTATATACAATTTATAGAGGTCCGCTATATACAATTTATAGAGGCACTCAAGTGTATAATACTGGCTTTTGCCCGCTGCTCTGCTCGCCTATATATCGGTTATAGAGGTAGAAAGTGGTCTATGGCACTCAGGGATAATATACCTTTCTAACAATGAAAGAATTTTCAAAACCAGATCAGTAGCACCAGAAATTACCCCGAACATACAAACTCACAAACTATACTTCTTTATAATATTAGTAGAGATATGACATGCTTTCAAAGGATCTTCTGGGACTATCTCTGCTACTTAACATAATATATGTATACATATTTCAAAGTGATTTAAATTATTAAACATAAAAATACAACATAAATGTGTCACAAAATGTTTACACATCTCATTTCACTCCAGTATTTGAAATAATTTTCAGTACAGTGAGTATCGGTTGTTTATGGAACTAGGTACACAAAATGTTACAATAGATAGAAAACGTATGGGGAGTGGTCTACCAAAGTGATTGAGGATTAAATAATTTTACACACTACGCTGATTGCATGTTTACAAAAGCTACTAAATTATAGTTTTAGTGGTTGTATTAAAAGGGACAAAACATGTAACAATGGTACCTATCAAACCACTGTTTACGTGTTTATGCCTCTGAGCTTTTGCGTTGATTTGATTAAAACGTTATAAAACGACTCACATAAAGCAGACGTTTAGAATTAGAATCTGTCAGATTTAATTAAAATAAATTTTATTCTAAATAACCTTACATACAAAAATGTTGATACAATCGTCAGGATTTATGAGAGTTTTCCGCTGTAAAATCACACGTCAATTTTAATATTTATACTCTCATATAGTGCACTAGGGTTTTCCAACAACTCTCTCCACGTAAAACTCAATTAACGTATGCACATGTGTAGATCCAGCATTCAATTCACTATAGAAATCCTAAAATAAAAATGTTAACAAACAATACCAACCCGTCTAACGTGGTATAGTGGGCTAAAACCTCCTTTCTAAGAAGAGGCTTATGTCCAACAGGGGACTAGTAAAGGCTGTTGATGATGATAATGACTTCCGCTCTTCTTAAAGTGACTGGCGATATTAGGACGGGTATGGAGGACACCCACATGACAATTTTATTTAGGCTCAGGACTACTAAGTATTCTTTTTATGTGAAGTACCTAGTACATAAAGTACTAAAAATAAACCATCTTTTTCTATCTAAGATATAAAGAGCATAGAAGATCTTTCACGTTTCATCGAGCTTAATAGGTGAAAGACTTAGGCTGCTAGTCTAAGAATCAGAATTCATTTTTATTTATTTTATTGGCCCGTATCATTTGTACTATCATTTTATTGGTTTACCTACCATGACAAAACAAAACACACCGGACAATCGTAGCTTGATTGTTTGACGAATTACACGTATTTTTAAAATTTGCATTAAATATATTGTTTATAATATATATAATAATTTTAATAATTTTAATAATTTTAGCTTTGTGCACTGGTTTTATACTCAAAGTTTAAGTATGCCAAATTCTATGTTTCTGGAGTATACCTAATAATGCGTACAAATAATTCTTTTCATGTATCAAGATATAGATGTGCCAATCGCCCTTTGTTTGCCGATGAGTCAGGGGAACCATCACCTATGACGTCACATAGATCAATATGCTTTAATAGGCCATTGACTTATCTTATACTACACTAGCTTCTGTATATGTCTTTAATTAATAAGGGTTATTTTTCTATCCTCCAAGAACCTTTCGAGATCGAAAAATACCCTCGTGAACTTTAAAAGAGATAACTATTATAATTTTTATACTTAACATAAGGCTGTTGGAACTTAGATGAATTACGTAAGGACTCACCAAAAAGCTAGAAACTTAAATATGTTTTTGTAACGAACTTTCAAATTCTAGCTTACAATACACTTAGGTACTTAACACTACGATGAAGTTTTCAATTCGTCTGACCTTTTTTCCCGACGAGAATCGATTTAAAAAATATTTTTCTGCATTGAATTTCATATATTCTTAATTGATCCTAAGTTACACATTTTTCTATTAAAATTAAAAGACGAAGAATAAACCTTATTACAGTTATTTAGGGACATCGAAGTCAGTGTCACTTCTTTAAAGATAATTATACCTTGTATTTAATAAAGATTAAGAGGGAAGACGATACAATTTAATACACTTAAGAATATTTCAAAGTCAATAAAGGACAAACAGGACATCTATCGTCAGCCATTAATATCCAAAACGCAGCGAAAAATGACGACTTAATTCGAGGCCTTTGTTTTCCAAAATTAAATCGCTTTCAGACTAAATTGGAAAATGTGGGGCGAAGCTGAATGCGACCGATTGTTTGCACGATGGAATACAAATTTAATATACAGGAAATAAAATTAATTGTTGTACTTGTAAAGGATATTTTAATTAAAACTCCGGATATACTATAAAAATGTATTTTAAACAAGTTCAATTGACTATGCAATCGTAACTTTCGGATTGGCAGATTTTAATAATTCTGTTAATTGTTCCAGCGATCAAATTGATAGTTATTTTATTGCGCATTGTGTCAAATTGAATTATTTCATGTATGCATCATATTATAATATTTAATGTGCGAATGTAGATACATATGCACGTATTTAGATTCTCATTAAAACATAAATAATTATTTATGTTTTAATGAGACACAAATTTAACATAACACCAATTATAATTGGTGTTATGTTAAATTTGTATGGCATCCCAGTAATGAAAATTATTACATTAGTGTATCCTTAAATTAATAAAACGAACAGATTGTACTAAATGTGGACATTTTGTATAAATTGTACTACTCGTTTTGCTGCTATTATTGACACATTTACAATGCTAAATAACGTTAAAACTAGAGTTATGATGTTGTGATAATTATAATTAAAATAAACTCGAACTCGTGGCTGTCGGTTACGGCGAGAAATACAGACGTCAATGATCCAAGAATTGTTTTAATGTCTTTTGTTTTTAAATATGCTCTACAAATCTTAATTTCAACATTTTATGTTATTTTCTTAGCTACATACTGCTTCAGCATACATGATTACGATCGGTTGAAGGTTTAGGTGTAAAACACACGTCATGTAGGTGCTTTAATACTGTAATATGAGTACGTGACTTAATTATGGCAATTCTCTCATATCAATATCTATACAAATAAATAAACTTGAAGTGTCTGTTTGTGATATCAAAATAATAGGTTTTTTCATGATCACACGGTTATACCAGAAACCAGTTTTTTTTTTGTCTGTCTGCCTGTTTGTACCGGGTAATCTTCTAAACGGCTGGACCGATTTTGATGATATATTAATATCAGGTAGCTGTTCATATAAGGAGTGACTTATAAAATTTGGCCCGGTCCGGGAATCGAACCCACTAAAACAGTGCTTTTCAAATTCCACGCGAACAAAGTCGCGGGAACCAGCTAGTAATAAATAATGTCAAGGTACGTTGTGCTTATCCGGCCCGTAGGGGGTTCATGTAACATTATGTAAAGTATTCCTAAACACGGTAATTTATCTACTCTACCCTTGTCTTTCTATATAAACTTCATAACTAATTCTATACGTAAAAGCCACCTATACAATAAACTTGGCAATTACACAAAACCTAGTGGAAACATTTTGAAGAATACTAAAAAACTTAAAGATATTAAAGTGCCACAAGAATTTGAATCGTATAGTATTTATTTTTTATTTTTTGTGTAAGTATGTAAATGTGAGTATAGTGTAGGCTTGTAATGTTTTGGGGGGGCTCGAATCGCTGTCGAGTCCACCCTAAAATATCTAGGATTGGTGCTCGACAGCCGGTGGGATCCTGGCCCCCACTTCCGGCGGCTGGCGCCCAAGTTGTTGGGCGCGGCTGGGGCGCTGTCAACGCTGCTTCCCAATCAGTCGGACCCGAGAGCCGCCTGCAGGCGGCTGTACGAGGGGATCGTGCGATCGATGGCCCTATATGGGGCCCCGATCTGGGCGGCTGACCTGACGGCCGGCGCTATCACCGTTTTGCGGAAGCCGCAGAGGGTGATGGCCGTCAGAGTTGTCAGGGGTTATCGCACGATCTCCCACGAGGCGGCTTGCGTACTGGCCGGATCTCCGCCCTGGGACCTGGAGGCAAAAGTCCTCGCGTCACTGCATCGGTGGCGTGAGGACGCGCGGGCTCGCGGTGAGGGACTGGCGCAGCGAGACATCGAGCTGCGTCGGTCACAGCTGCGCGAGGTCCTGGTGGTGGAATGGCGGGACAGGCTTTCACGCCCTTCCGCCGGCCTCGTCACTATCGAGGCCATCCGGCCAGTGCTCGACCTCTGGCTCGACAGAAGGCACGGCTCCCTGTCGTTCCGTGTGACGCAGGTCCTCTCTGGGCATGGCTGCTTCGGGAGGTTCCTGTGTCGCTTGGGCAGGGAGCCGGACGCTCGGTGTCACCACTGCGTCGACTGTCGGGAGGACACGGCGCGGCATACGCTGGCAGAGTGTGCCGCCTGGGAGGAGCCGCGCCGTGCCCTCATATCTGTAGTAGGCAGTGACCTCTCGCTGCCGGCCGTAGTTCGTTCTATGGTCGACAGCGAGGAGTCCTGGGACGCGGTGGCGTCCTTCTGCGAAACGGTTATCTCGCAGAAGGAGGCTGCGGAGAGGGAGAGGGAGATCCTGACCTCTCTCCCGATCCGCAGCAGGCGCACCGGGCGTCGGAGGAGGGCATATGCTGCCCTCCACCGGCCCCCCTAGCTGGGTCCAGGGGCGACGGACTTGGGGATGTTCGTCGCCCCATCTGGACCCGAGGTGGCGGCGCGTTGTGTTCCCGTGCGCCCCTCTGTGTAGTCGCGAGGGGAGTCAAACACCTCACTCCCCTCGCTGACGCGATGTGGCCCGCAGCGGCGGGCCGGCACCAGTCGGGGATTGCGGAAGTCACCTCAGTTCCCGCGATCCCCGGCGTAGGTGAGAGACGGAACACCGGGGGGTTTTAGTCAGTAGGAGTCTGACAGACCCCTCCGCCCTTTCCCCTGGGCGGAGGACATCCATGAGGATCTCCCCCCGTTAACAAAAAAAAAAAAAGGCTTGTAATGTTAATTCATATTTTATTATCTTTCTGGTGGTTTTGAGTGTTTCCACGGCCTATCCAAATGTCCTGCTGGCGGTAGTGTCATGCTTCGGGTCGTTGATCTTGACCAATATCGGTTAGGCTACACGATGGCTGGAGCCTGTATGCCGTCTGTATGGACAGGCTGACTCAAAACTATGGTCCTTTCCTCAAAAGGCCTATCCAGACCCTATACTGTACTCGCACAGTTTTATTTAACTTTGTTTACGGACTTAAAAAAAAAGACACCTCTGTGGTTTGTTTCGGCGTTTCTTCCCAGAGTGAGTCTTAGGAAATGCCGGCTCCTTCTAGCTATAAAGTCCGACTTGTAAAAATATCTGAAAAGATTTACTTACAGAAATAAATATCATTTATCATTGGTGGTTGATCCTGACTACTGATTGATGACTGATCCAGAGATCGAGGCTTCGAATCCCACCCAAGACAAACAATGTGTGATGGGTTCATCTGTAATTATAATGGTATCTATTTTGTGTGTTATACATACAAGTATGCTTATCAGCAGTTAAGTAGTACCGTCTTGAGTTATTATTATTATTTAAGTATTAAAATAGTAGTAATATGCTGATTAGTCAAAAACATAAAAAGACGTAGTGGTATTGGTTGACTTAGTGGTTTATGACTTACCGGTCGACCGCCAAGGGCCTGCCACATGAACTCCAAGTCTGCAATATGAGCCGGCACTGGTACTATAAAGCTGGTCGCGTATTTGTTCACCACGCCTTCTCTGACGTAGTACAGCTCCGCATCAAGACCTATAACAATAATTATTTTATTTTATTTTTAAGAAAATTTGTAGCGCTACGTAGGAAAAATATCGACCATTGATCATCGGATGGCTCAACAGTTAAACTATGCCGATTTGAAGGCTTTTTTGTTTGGTTGTAGTGAATCTCAATAATAAAATCATGGTTAAGTTAATGTTAAAGTTTATTCACACAATTTCGTTAGATTATACAACTTATGTTATGCATATAAATGTTCGATTGTATTTTATGCCCTTCATACACGCTGTCAATGTTACGAATATAGGGTACCAAAAAAGCAAAACCAAAGAAAAAAGTGCCACGCGAAAAAGCCAGTAAGATATAAAACCCGGTCGCTTAAACATTTTTTTTCGCGCTAATATAAGTAATTATCTATTTATAATTAATTTTAGCTCATGATAAAATAACATTGATCAATAATCATTGATATCGAATGTGAACGTAAAAAATCAATATCGTTTCTAATAGATTCATAATACGAAGTAATAAGTGCAAATAATAATAAAAAAGTACTATTAATATTTATTTTTCTTAAAGTAGGTATTTCAATCACAAAAAGTATAACGTCGCCTCATAAAAATTTCAAACGCATAAAAAACTAAAATCACATTATTCTAATTCGAAGTGCATTACGGACGATTGCGTTGAATGGGAGAGTGTCTCCCCAGAACAGATGCAGGTTCTACTCCCGGGGGGCGTACCGCGTCAAATTATCCAACTAACTCTATTTGCTTAGCCGAAAAAGAAGTGTTGTAATAGTGCGACGGGAAGTTTTGATACTTTTGTTTTTTTTTGTATTTATGGACGTTCCTTTTGTACCTACCTATGCTTTTTTCATCGAATCAAGATTTAGCTACTAAGCAGCTGTCTTGTAACGATATTTTACTTTAAAAAAGTTACACCAACTTCAATGCGCATACATAATGATAAATCATAATAAACTCTTTTCTCTATTTCTTAATAATCTACCCTCAGAGCCTATATTATTTAAATTTAAATGGGACCAAGGTAAGATCCATAAAAATATACAATCACATTAAGAATCTCCTATGTTTTGATGTCAGGTAAATATCCTCTTTTTTAAAGAGAGGCCTATGTCCAGCAGTGGACTATTAAAGGCTGTTGATGATGATGATGAAATATGCGAATATTACTATTACATAAATAGAATGAAATATAGGTATAAATGTCAGTGAGTATTTTTAGTTAAGTTGCTATTTGTTTGTTATTTTTCTACCTTTTCATGTGAAATAGCTGACAGCAGCACAGACGAAGAATCTAGTTACCAGCAATAACGGTGAAGATACTGTTAGAACCTTCTCACATTCTACGCTCAAGGCATTTGCACCTCGTTAGTATCGCCTCTAAGTAAATAAGAATTTTTGAAAATAAAAACAATTTGCTTTAGTACGGTGAAGTTGCCTGCAGCGGTACAAAAATAGAACAGTCACACGTAAACATATTAAACGCTATCTCATTGTATATTGAACAAAGAGTCCATTGAACGTTCTAATACATATCTATTCTCATTGAAGTAAAATCTTCGATTATCCAAAAGAGCAGTCTGCAAATAGTTATTTTTTTATAGTACTGCAGTCCTTTGCCAACTAAGGAGATTTATTGATTGAGGAGTAAAACGTGAGAAACGAAAAGGCTGGATTTCCTTTAAATCTTTTTAAAATTATAATTTCCTATGTTTTTAATTTCTTATATAATCAATGTCTACACTTTCATTGACTGTCATCTCTTTTTTCACTTGTCACTTGTTAATTTAAATTGACAAGAAAAAATTAAGATCTTGAAGTTATTTAAAGCGATGTCTTATTAGTATATTTAATTCTGTAGGAGTTAAATTCTTCTCTTCTATGGCAATTTAAATTGGAGTATAAATTGTGATAAATAGTTTATTTTTTATACCGAAAATAATTTAAAGTTCTATGTAAAAAAATAATGTAGACTATAAGCAGAAAAAAAACAGATGTCCAAAGAGCGAGATGATCTAATCACCCTACACTTACGGACGCAAAGCGACAGTGAAACGGACTGAATATGAAGTGGCACTTTGCACAATTGATGAATCACTACCCCTACCTTCCATTCCCATATAAAAATACCTTCGCACAGCGCTACTTTAAGAGGAGAATGAATGAGCCCCGCATTTCAAATGCATGCATCTATGTATATGTACCATATTGCTTATACATATGTGTACTAATTAAATGTTTCTGAATGCTAAAATAGTAATTAGAATTTGACAATTTTTTTTTTTCTTTGATATTATCAACTCGACATTTAGTGATTTACTTTGTTTGACAATATTGTTTTGACATTGAGTTTCTAAATTATGAAAATGTCTGGTTGCATTTGGTAAGGTTTATATAATATATATTAAATATTTTTAACTTATTTTATCCTTATAAATGTAAATTTTTTGGAGATTATATGTTCCCCTTTTTTTCTCGATATTATAAATTGTTTTATTCAGACACAATTGTAATAAATTAAATAAATATTTAGTTAGATAAATAATAAGTTAAATAAATACCCGACTGCGAATGGAGGGTTATGTTTTGTTTGTAAATTTCTTTTATTACCTTATATCTTCTACATGGCTAAATGGATTTCTATAGTTAAGGTATTTTTTATAGATCTCAAAAACCCAAATGGCTATAGATGGCGTTCTGAAATATAAAAACAAAATGGCGGCATTTAGACGCAAAATAGTAAGAGTAGTTTAAAAAAAAACAAACCTAAAAAATAATTATTTAAGTTATTTATTTAAATTTAATGTGGATAAATAAATTTGTTTAAAAAGTCTTTGGTAGCTCAACAATGGGCCAAGATTGTGTCGGACCTCGTGCTGTTTCAGTCTTTTCAGTGCTTTCCTTTAGATTGTCTTTTTTGCACTCGAATTTTTTATTTTTTATTATGTCGGGTTGTGTATTGTTAGGTACAAAATTAAAAAAAATGCATACTTTAGAAGTTACTACGGATTGTAGTGTAAGGATCATAACAGTAAGTAATATTTGCCATGTGCTAAATAGAGAAAGTTAAAATTATATTTTATCGTTGGTATATATACATACATATACGTGACTCTCTGTTGAAGAGAAATAAATGCAATATCTTGTGTATCAACATTCACTTTTTTACTTTTCTTGTTGCTAAGTACTTCAAATCACAAATAATAAAAATTACAACACAAAGAAATATTAATTAAACAAATACTCATTTCCCAATCTAAATTTCAAATATTCTTATTTTAGTGGCAATGTTTACATAAGTTGACATCGAGGGATGTCAAGGCATGCATACTTTGATGATATAGAGGTACCGTATCTACGATGCATTTATAACTAGAGTAACTAGACGTATAATAATATATAATCAAAGCATTCAAATTTAATTTATCAAAGCAAATAAAATATAACTTCAGTCCTTAAATTTAAATGTTAGGTTACGTCTTCAGTGATAGAGACAGAGAATCTTACTGACAGAGGCGGAGCTACGAAACTCTTCCATGTTTCTGAAGACCGAAGTTAATGGAAACTACCGACGTAGATTCTATTATTGTTGATGAATTGGATCGCTAGAAGTCGTAATAATGCTGAAGTTTTGAGCGTACAGCGAAGATACCAGCACACAATCAGACAACTAGTTTCATAATTGAAGTGAAACCTTTCAAGAAGTCTAACTATTTGTTATTTATAAATCGTTTGAACTAGGACGCTTGAACTAAGAATGTATACTGCACACAAGGAATAATCCTTGTGTGCAGTATACATACGAGTACTCATAAGAGTTGGGTATTGATCAATTTTATATTCCAAGAATATAAAATTGAACTGGCAAAAAACTTGCACTGGCATTTTAAAAAGGGGTCATTTAAAAAAAATATATACTTTGCTAACAATTAATTTACTTAAAATAATTGACTAACCAAAATAACACCGCATAATCTTAGTGCAGGCAGTGTTATTTAGGTAGTAGTTTAAGTAGTGGGACATTTAAACTTAAGTTTGTAAAGTTTTTTTTTTTTTTTTTTTTTTTTTATTTATTTATTTAAGGTCGCTTTTTAACATCTCAGGTCATTAGCGACCACAATTGACAATAGGTATACATATATAATCACACTGTAGTTTACACTAGGTTATAGACATTGATCATTTTCAGAAAACTTAAAGTTTGCATACATCCTTTTTGATTTAAACAGTCTTGTAAATTATTTTGCATGTTACATAACTTTTTCTCGCTACAATAAGCTGTGCATTCCTCTAATAAATGCTTAACAGTTAAATCTAGTCCACACTTGCATTTATTTCTTTCGGTTTTAGTAATTAGATGAATATGTGTCATATTTGAGTGTCCGATACGTAGACGGGTGATGATCACTTGATCTTTTCTACAAGTAAAATTATTGGGGGATTTATTAAAAATAGACTTCCTTATACTATATAACTTTGATGTATTTTCTGTTTTCCAATACTCATCCCAAGTAGATTTAATTTTATGTTTGAGGTATTTTTGTAGTTCGTCTGGAGTCGATTTATTTGTATGCCAATTTTCGATTTCATTTATTGCTTGCCTCGCTTCATGATCTGCTTTTTCATTACCAACTATCCCTTGATGACTTGGAATCCAAATAATTTCAAATTTGTAGTTATTTTTAAGTAGGTTTATAATTTTTTGTTTAATTTCTATAACTAGGGTATTTGTGTTATTTGTACTTTGTAACGCTGTTAAGCATGATTTAGAGTCAGTATATATTATATATTTATCTGTATTAATATCACTACTTATTAGTTCCAAGGCTTTAAGGATTGCTATTGCTTCGCAACTAAAAATTGTATTAAAATCTCCAAGTCTATAACGGTAACAATTATTCCCATATACTATTGAACATCCTGATTTTCCGTCCTTAACTGACCCGTCCGTATAAAAAATCTTACAATCTGTGTACCTACTATTAATTTCTAAGAATAGGGTTTTGTACATGTATTGAGGAGTATCTTCCTTGTGGTTTTTTGATAATTCGAGGTTGATGGGCCAATCTAAGCTTTCCCATGGGCCAATCGAAAGCAATTTCTTCGTAAAAAAATTTGGAATCTTGAAATTAATTTCCTTTAAATATTTAGTTGCTCTTATTCTGAAGGGTCGCGGTAAATGGGATCGAAGTTCATATTCCGTGTCTGCAGCTGTTATTTTAGTGTAAATATAATAAGTTGGGTTTTCAGGTTGAGATGATATATTAATAGCATATCTTATAACCATTTCCTTTCTTCTAAATTCTAACGGCATTTCTCCAGCTTCAGCTAAAATACTATTAATCGGACTTGTTTTAAATGCACCAATACTCAATCTAAGGGCAGTATTTTGAATGCTTTCGAGAGAATTGAGTGTTCGTTTTTTTGCTGAGTCATAAACTACGCATCCATAATCTATTTTTTGTCTTATCAAAGCACGATATGTGTTTATAAGACATTTTCTGTGAGATCCCCATGATGTCGACGACAGAATTTTAATAACATTTAACCTTTTAAAGCACTCAGATTTAAGTTCATTTATGTGTGGAATCCATGACATCTTTCTATCGAATGTTAATCCTAGAATTTTCATTTTGTTAACTTCTTTAATATTGTGTTCATTTAAAGTCAGCTGTGCATTTTTTGATTTAATTCTTTTACTAGACATGACCATGAATTCTGATTTAGTTTTTGAAAATTTAAAGCCTGATTTCTTTGACCATTCCTCAAGGACTCCCAGTGTATTCTGTATAAGTTTTAATGTTGGTTGCAACGATCTACCGCTACAAGTTAGTGTTAGGTCATCAGCGAAAAGAAACGCTTTTACCGGTTTATCAATAAGTGGAAGAATGTCGTTAATAGCTAGCAAAAATAGAATAACACTAAGTACCGAGCCTTGAGGTAGACCATTTTCTGTACGAACTGGGTTAGATGTTGTATCATTGATTCTTACTTTTATTGTCCTATCTGAAAGGAAGTTTCTAATGAACGCCAGAGCATTTCCTTTAATATTGATGTCTTGTAATAATTTTAGTAACCTGTGTTTCCAAACCATTTCATAAGCTTTCTCAATATCTAATGCTACAATCACTGTATAAATATCATTAGCAAATCCATCCAGTATGTCACTTTCTATATTCACTAAATGGTCTATTGTGGATCGAAACTGGCGAAATCCATACTGAAATGGTGACAAGTATTTATTTATTTCTACGTACCATCTAATTCTTTTACTGATAATTTTCTCTAATATTTTACATAGATTACATGTTAAAGATATCGGTCTATAGCTAGTTCGTGAACTTGAAATCTTTTGTGGTTTTAATATTGGAACTACTAAAGCTTCTTTCCAATTGTCCGGAAATACATGATCCTTATATATATGGTTATATAGTTGAAGTAAATATTTAAGTCCTGTCATTGGCAAATGTTTAATTAAAATATTCGGTATATTATCTGGTCCTGGGCTAGAATTACCAATTTGTGAAAGTATTGAAATTAATTCGTGCATTGATATTTCTTTATTGATTGGGTTGGAATTGTCGGATGTCTCGAGATTTGAATCGGTCTCTTGTCTAATTTTATATTCAATAAATAAATCATTATAGTTATTAGAACTAGAATTAGTTGCAAAAGATTCAGCTAAAAGGTTTGAGGTTTCAATAGGGTTAGATGTAAACATACCGTCATTTTGTTCTAGTACAATTTGGTTGAATCTAGTGTTGCGGTGATTTAGTTTCTGAATCTTGTTCCACATATCCCTAACAGGGGTTTTGTTAGTAATAGATGACACCCAATTTTCCCAATATCTTTTTTTATTTTCTTTAATAAGTCTCCTATAGTAAGCTCTCTTCTTCTTATAATTGATTTTATAAGTCGAATTGGGGTCATCTCTAGCATATCGTTTAAAGAGTTTTAGCGCCTTTTTTGTTTCTCGAATTGCAATTTTACAGTCCTCGTTCCACCATGGTAAATTATGTTTTCTTAAGATACCAGATGTTTTAGGTATTGAATTATCAGCAGCCTTAAGAATGACTTCAGTGAATTTATCAACCACCACATTAATAGAAGAATCTATAAATTGATTTACTGGTACTAATTCTGTTATATTTAGATCAAAGTATTCCCGAAACATGTTCCAATCTGCTTTATCAAACTTCCATTTCTTAGGCACTCTAATATCGTTTGATACATTAGAATTAAAATTAGATGTAATGAAAATGGGGAAATGGTCACTATCATACAAATCGTCCAGGGCGTTCCATTCAAAATATGACGTTATATTTTGTGAAGCCAAGGTAAGATCTATATTACTTGTCAGACCCGTATGGCTATTAAAACGAGTAGGTTGTCCGTTATTTAATAGAAATAAATTATCAAGTTCGTCAAGCCATTCTGCTATTAACTTACCCCTAGAATCACATTTATCTGAACCCCAATAAAAGTGATGGCTATTGAAATCGCCTAAAATTATCACAGGAGATGGAAGCTGACTAATGAGATTATTTAATTGCTGTTTATCAAGAGTACTACTATTTGGTAGGTAAACGTTACATAATGTAATAGATAGTGGGAATTTTATGTTTATTGCAACTGCTTCTAAATTTGTGTTTAAAACTATTTCTTCTGGAATCGTATGAGACTTAATATAAATAGCCACTCCACCACTAGCCCTATCACCTTGCAACCGATTTTTGTAAAATTGTTTGTATCCTGTTAAAGAAGCGCATTTATTAAAAGTAAAATTTGTTTCCTGTAGACAAATGCAAGTGGGACATAATTTACTTATTAATAATTTGATATTTTCAATTCGTTTATAGTAACCATTAACATTCCATTGTAATATATCCATATTAACTAATAATAACGTATCTTTAAAATAATATGTAGTAGTAAAAAATTAAGTTAACTTTTAAATTATTGATCTATGTCCGTTGTAACAATAGGTGTGGGAGATATTAATATTTCATGTAATTTCCTTGACAGACGTGAACATCTATTTTTTTGGCTTTTGTTCATCTTACAGTGTAATTTGTTACACATTTTAATAAGGTCCTTAATGTTATCTGTATAAGAATATACTAATTCTTTTATATTTTGTTTTCCTCGTGTATTATCTAATAAGCTAATGAATTGGTCTAAATTAATAGGGAATGTATTTTCGTTGTTTAACGTGGATAATTCTTTTTCAATATTTGTCCAAATTTCTTCTTCAGTTCTAGGGTCAGACTTTTTTAGTTTCTTTTTTGTTTTTGTTTTGGTTTCCAGATCTTCCAATGATATATTACTGCCTGTTTCATCAGATTCAAATTCCATTCTGTCAGACTCCTCTTCTTGTGTGTGTTGTTTTATAATATTTATTTTTGAGGATTCAGTAGTCGTTAGTGAATGTGTTCTTTTTACTCCTTTTGGGTTCATCTGAGATGGTTGTGAGAAGCCTTGATTTACTGGGGTACATTTAGGGTCATCCTGAGGGTGGGTAACAATTAAATCATCGCA